ATCACAACTTGATTTCAATGCTTGAAAATAAATATCAAATGGAATTGTGCATTTCTTCTCATCTTATTAATGTCTATGTTTACTGTAATAAATTCAATAGCTAAAATATCCTTATTATAATAAGCTTATAAGCTTAAACCAAAAGTGAGAATTGCTTCATCAATATGTGCTACTTTATCTATTAAACTAGCAATTCTTTCGAGGACGCCCTCAACAAAAAACATAAAACCGGAAATGACGTGGTTGCTAAGCAACAAGCTCATGCATAATCATGAATATTCAGTGACACCTGTTCTAATTAGACTAACAATAAAATCTTTTTGGTCGATTTTGTCAAAACTGAGCCAAAAGTTTTTATTGTTAGTCTAATGAGCACAGGTGTTACTGAATATGCATAAGCTGTAACCTAGCAACCGACGTCATTTCCTGTTTTGTAAAATTCGACGGCACCTTTCTCTGAAAAGTTTCGTAATTTGTTGGTCTCATGTGAATATATTTGGAAAGAGTGCTTATAAGTTATAGTAGCCTGTAATGGTGCTATATTCGAATCGACATGATTATAATATATTTAAATCGATTATATACTGATTAATAATCATGAAATATATAGTATTATTATTAATGCAATTACGATAAAGAAAGTACACACAATGATGTATTATAAATTACACTGCAGTTTACTTTTATTTCTTACATACTCGGAAATGTTACACCAAAAATATATAAACGTAATATAAATAGAATATAAAGATTCTAGTTTTATATAATATAATATAATATATATAATGCTTAGGCCTAATTATAGTTACGTATGTAACATCGTTCGAGAATTACTTGTTCGTTGTATAAGAAACATAATTGGCAAATTTGATTCAATTACTGCGATTTAGTGATAAAAATCCTAATAAATATCCAAACGCGATTATTTGTAGAATTAAGACAATACAAATCCGGCTATTGATAGCATCTTGTGTTCCGACAATTCCGTTGACAATAATTGTACATCGACTTCACAGTTATTGATGGATCGGTAGATTTGATCTGAGACACTGAAATAAAAGAGATTGAACTAGTGAGAAATACATTCCTACTATTTTCATTTTGGGATCTGTGTTAAGTTAGGCTTAATTAAGTATAAATCTCATTACACTTTTTTGGAAACTTTATGACATTTATACTTTCATGAGGTATAAGAATACAAATTCAGATAATAAAATTGATTGTTTGATTGATTTAATACATTATGTAAAGTGTACAAGATAATAAAGCGTTATTTTAATATGAGTGGTTGAGTACGCTCTCCAACATCCCACCCAAATCGAAAAAGGTCCAAATTTTAAGACAGTCGAAAATGTACAAAATACAAGATGTGTATAAGAGACAGCAGTTGTACACTTCCCCTTTTCGAATACCGGTATACGGAACAGTTGAGCATTTTATATAGGACTGTATAATAACTGTCTCTTATACACATCTAGATGTGTATAAGAGACAGGGTTTCTTCTTTAGAGTAATAGACGTAGTTTTACATTTGGAGGCATTGGCAGACATAGACCACTGATTACACCAATTAATAAGAGCATCTAGATCTTCCTGTAAAAACAACATATCATTAATAGAATAAACAGACTTAAATAATTTAATATCGTCAGCAAATAGTAGAAATTTTGAATGAAACGGAACAAAGGAAAAATCATTAATAAACATAATAAAAAATAAAGGCTCTAAGATAGACCCCTATGGGACTCCAGATAAAACTGGGAGCCACTCAGGTGTTTGACCTTCAATAGTCACCCTTTGTAAACGATCACATACAATGCAGGAAATTATATTAAACTGTATAAATACACCAATATTTTGAGAACATTAACGGCATTAGGAACACTTTATGCTGCATTCTATTTTCATTAATGTGTATTTTATACGATTGTTATCGGCCTATTTAAATCAAAGTTTTATGAACCATAGATAGTTTTTAAATAATATTACACTTTATGAAATTAATTAAAATGATTTAGATAGAAAAATTATAGAATGTATATACGGACAATGATTTTGAAAACATTAACGGCATTAAGATCATGAATTGATATAGCGATGTTATAATAGGCCTACTGTATTTAAATTAAAACGCATTTTACGACCCATGGATCGTTTTTAAGTTTAAACTTTAATAAATTAATTAAAATGATTTCACTTAGCCTACTTTTAAAGAGTACTTAGATTTACATTGTTGAATTTAGGTTGCAAATGTGCCTACGACTAATGGTACGGTATGTCATTACACAACTACAAATCTTTAGCTCTGTTTTTTTTTTTTTTTTTTTTTACTGCTGTTGTTTACATTTTCACTCAGATATTCCGGTTTTAATGCCATTGGTGAAAAGGATTTAAAACAAATTTAGAGCACAGTCATCAGTCTGAAAATGTAGGCCTGAACACAACACAACAATAGATACCGCAATGAAGGCATACAGGCTTGTACAACCACAGTATGGTACACTCTCTACTTACCTATATGTGTATTTTCTTACTTAGAAGAAACACCATTCCAAAATTAAATATTTCAGAAGATGTGTTTGCGACGACCTGTCTAGACACAGTTCCGGTAGTTCACATACACGCTTGCTTCAACCGTAATTTGGATATTATGAGACAGGTGCACAACCAACCAGGTATCTGAAGGAAAATTGCTGCCAAAGACAGTAGTGCCCTACCAGGCTAAACCTACAAATTATTAGTTCAGCGCTCACTCCTTATTAGCGTCCACCCTCGAATTGGTCTAGCACTGGGGCCGAAACGGTATCCGACTAGTTTGTCAAAATCCAGTTTTGTCGAAACCCATGATTGCCGAATTAATGGCCTCTTTGCCGAAACCCAGTTTGCCGAATCTAGTTCACCGAAATCATGACAACCCAGTTTGCCGAAACACAGTTTTCCGAATCAGGTGCCGTCACCATCGTTCAAAAGTAAGTACAGCATACTGTGCTTTTGAAAACATGATGTGTGGATCAGGGACGAGCCATATTTACATTCCCTTATTTGTACCCGTGTAAACGCTCCGCTTTGAAGAAAAAAAAAACGCCCTTTCTAGAGCCTCATTTGGAATAACGCCTCTTTCGAAAACACTCCGTGGCGTCTATTTTTTTCCTCGAATAAACTCCCCCTTCACTGTAAACAGATCTAATGGAAACAAAAAGATAAATGCCTGCCTCGAATAAACACCTCGCTCGAATTACCGGAAACTTCCCCTCAAAAACCATTCTCAACAATAAACGCCTCAAGACGTTTATTCGACGAAATCGTCCGGGACTAAAAATAATTTGCCTATCTATATAACATTATTTTGATTGTCAATTTCTAATATTGTCGTATAAAAAAAAACCCCAAAAAATTCCCAACGCGAATATATGGATTTTTTTTTATGCCGGGACGCTGACAGAGCCTCTAGTCAGCCCCTTGATTCGGGTGTATAATTGTAGATTATTATTATTTATATATTATTTCATTTAGGTATACATATTATTATCTTAATTAAACTTTATACACTTATTATAAATATGCTTATAAGACATTTTATCTGACAGGCATATTTAATTAATTAATTTTTTTTTTTGCTGATAGCTAAATTGTTAATCAAGTTTGATTTAAAGAATAAGACAAAACTAATCATTAAACTACAATAAGCAGTTATTTATTATACAAATAAACAGAGATCGCATCGCACTTCGTTTTGGAATGCTTCTAAATTCTTAATTTCGCAATTCTGGAATTTACCTATTTACAATAGACATGTAATAGATAGTTTCTTTTTTCCCGATAAATCATGTACCGGTAATTTTCTTTCTTCTTTGAGAGTGGAAAAGAACAATTTCAAATTATGGATGAATAAATAGGTATCTATGTCTATGCCCTTACTTTCCACTGGCTCCACCAGTTCGTACAGACGCAGTCACGGTAAAAGAGTGCTCCATCACGAATGTTATGCTGTTTTTAATGTTTCACTGCTTTTGATTGACTTTCGTCAAACTGGGTTTCTGAAAAATGGGATTTCGGCAAAGTGAACTAGGCAATCTGGGATTCGACAAACTAAATGTTGACAATATGGCGTAGATCATATAGTGACGGCACCATAGATTTCCATATATGAAGATCCAAATTTCTCGCTGAGACTGTAAAAGTATAGTTCGCTAATTAGCATAAGAATGTAACAATATTATATGTTTTTGTACAGAGAAGCCGTAATACTGTTACTTACTACGTAACTTTGATAGTAATTGTTATTGTCATGATGGTACAGACAATAACTGAAATTTGCGTCAGGAGAATCAAGCATAGGTGTAATTTTGCCCTACCTGACGTGGAAATGCACTGAATACCTAGTATGTTTGAAAACGTTTAAAATAGCGAAAAAAAATCGCAAGTTGTTCTCGGGTGGGACCCGAACCCACGACCTCCAGAGAACAACTTGCAATTTTTTTCGCTGTTGTTTTCAAACGTACTGAGTATTCGGTACATTTACACATCAGGTAGGGCAAAATTACACCTATACGTAACTTTGGCCATTGTAAAGTCGATTCCAGTAAATGACCTATCTGTTTAAAACTTTTATCAAAGATACTAGAAATACAAAAGATAGAGTTCTCCGCACAAAAAAAGTGTTCCACCGAAATGCATGGTGGGAATACAAACAATGGGGCACACGTACGGCTGGATCTAAAAAAAACTTCAACCAAACTTTCGTTACCAAGTCGTCGCGTATTTTATTGTCAATTCTCAATTAAAAAATTGTACACAATTGTACAATTAGTACAATTGTACCCAGACAGTGACAACGGTCAATATATAATTCCTTGGCGGAGGTAGAAATCGTTGCTATTATCCAAATAAAACACACAATTATTAGCCTATGGATCAGTATAGAAAACAACAATATAGCGCAAAATCGTATCTAGTGATAAAGTTTTCCTCCATTAGTGGAAAAAGAAGGGCGCCGTGTGCGTCTGGATATACTTAGAAACAGAAGGGCGCCCTGTACGTTGGGCACGAAGTATAGAAAACTTGCATGGCATGGTTCAGAGCCATAGCTGTCTCTTATACACATCTAGATGTGTATAAGAGACAGATGGTACGGTATGTCATTACACAACTACAAATCTTTAGCTCTGTTTTTTTTTTTTTTTTTTTTACTGCTGTTGTTTACATTTTCACTCAGATATTCCGGTTTTAATGCCATTGGTGAAAAGGATTTAAAACAAATTTAGAGCACAGTCATCAGTCTGAAAATGTAGGCCTGAACACAACACAACAATAGATACCGCAATGAAGGCATACAGGCTTGTACAACCACAGTATGGTACACTCTCTACTTACCTATATGTGTATTTTCTTACTTAGAAGAAACACCATTCCAAAATTAAATATTTCAGAAGATGTGTTTGCGACGACCTGTCTAGACACAGTTCCGGTAGTTCACATACACGCTTGCTTCAACCGTAATTTGGATATTATGAGACAGGTGCACAACCAACCAGGTATCTGAAGGAAAATTGCTGCCAAAGACAGTAGTGCCCTACCAGGCTAAACCTACAAATTATTAGTTCAGCGCTCACTCCTTATTAGCGTCCACCCTCGAATTGGTCTAGCACTGGGGCCGAAACGGTAACCGACTAGTTTGTCAAAATCCAGTTTGCCGAAACCCATGATTGCCAAATTAACGGGCTCTATGCCGAAACCCAGTTTGCCGTATCCAGTTCACCGAAATCATGACATCCCAGTTTGCCGAAACCCAGATGCCGAATCATTTGCCGTCACCATCGTACAAAATACAGCATACTGTGCTTTTGAAAACATGATGGGTGGATCAGGGCAGAGCCATATTTACATTCCCGTAA